GACTCAAGAAAGGGTATTACTTTACGAGAAAAGTAAAATACTTTCATTTCTTTTTTATATTTATTTAGTCAATTTCCCTATTGATGATGGAGTTTGGGGGTGTCAGTTTTTCAATGAAATCTAGAAATAATATTTTTCAGAAAAGCTCCTACAATGCATCTATCACAAATGAGTCTTGCATTTTTTTTAAAAAAATGGAAACCCAACATATACTATTGGTAGTTTCCAGTTGACTTCACTGTTTTATCTGAAATCATGGCCTTCCCTTGTATATTAGCAAACTGAAACCAAAGAACAAATGTTCAAGCCCAAACAAACTGCAATCTTTGAAATGCTACACAAAGGAACAGCTCATTGATGTGGCCAATTACCAGAAAATAAATAGATCTCTCATTTGTTGTTCAGAAATTTCATTCTAGGTCTGTCAAACAGTCACATTAGAGATGTTCAAATGGTGGATTTCTACTTAAAGATCTTCTCCAATTCTATATTTCCAGAGACTTCCCTGAATCATAAACCACAAGTGGAGCATGATAACTAGCTAAAGAATTATGTGATATATAAAGTAACAGGTGTTGAATTCTGACTAAGAAGTTCTAAAAGAAGTCCTAGGTTAAACTTAAAATTTTCAGTCTATCCGATCTCATAGATTTGTTATTCAGATAAAAGAGATACTTTTTGGGGATATGAATTTCTTAAAAAAGTAGAAAGAAAAGGCAAATGTGTAAATGTGTAAACTCACTAATACAGAATGGAGCAAAATACTTTAATTTTGGGTAAAGGATATTTGGAAACAGTGGATTCTGAAGTTCACTTTAAAATTGTCTGCTATTCAAAATCAATTTAAAAGCAGTTTTACAAGAGGAACCAATTTTACTGGATGAGATTGAGACTGGCTGATTTGAGGTGACTCTTCAGCATATTCTTATTTTTTCTTTCTTTTCTATTTTACTTTCTATTTCCTTTTCCCCATCTACCCCCTCTTTTTCATTTTTTAAATGTTTTTTAAAATTTTGTATTATTCTTTTATCTTGGTATCTGCATAGTTTATGATGAAATGGTTCTGCACATTTTCCATGTATGGTCCTGCCAATGAAGAACATGGAAGTACAAAGGCTCCTGGACTCAAGTCATGATGGCATCATGTACATCATGATATCATCATAGCATGCACTAATGCCATTTCCATCCATAAACTAGATAAATGACACAATTCACATAAGTTTCACATGAAAATATGCAAATAATTTGCATATGAACAATTTGTATAGTGACATCATTTGTCTCATGTGCACAATTCATGTGAAGGCCCATGGGGAAGCACTGCATGCCTTGTTACATATAAGAAAAGATGTGCAAAGCTCGGGTGAATATCTCTCAGTCTGAAATAGGATACAGACTTATATTTGAAGAGAGAGTTTTTTGTTAAATAAGTTGGTCATGAACCATATGAAAAACTACACATTAAATATGTTGGGCAAACCTATCTTTCAAGTGTCTAAATTATTCTATATCCCAACTGTGTTAATGAAGTTAAAGTAAGGGAGACTCCACCCTTCCTGGACAGTTTTCTAGATTAGTCCAAAAAATAATAATAATCAGAAGTCAAGGAGCTGTCCAAAAACAGGAAGCAAAAATCTCAAATTCTCTAATGTGAGATTTGGGGATTCCAATGCAACTAGAGATTAACATTAGCAAAAGCATTTTGAAGGGCTGCTGAATTTTAAAACAAACAAATTAGAAATGACTCTACGGAGAGAATTTAGATCAATTTTCTACTTATAAATCTGATTAGAAAATGCAATGATCCCCAACCTCTGCTGCATAAGAACTGGATTGTCTACATTTAGGTAACTTCTAACTAAGGATTTACTCTCTCATTTACTGAAGCCAATCTTAGTGTGTGTGTGTTTATGTAGAAGGAAGGAGGGAGGGAGAGAGAAAAAACACTGAATTTCAGGAAGCAAACTAGTGTGACCCTAAGGAATCTCCTAAAATTACTTTAGTTGTGTGAGGGAAACATGTCATTGTGAAGTGGAAGAAAACAGTACACACTGCCCACATATCAAAGCACTGTACCCTTTATTTAACATAGGAGAACAACACAACAGCTTTCTTTTCTATATGAAAGAGTTCAATCTAAGGAGTGCCATATTTTGAATATACTTTAAATGGTGCTGGCTGAGGCAATTTAAAGTGGATGAAAAGTGGATTTCAATGTTTGTTTTTCCCCTAAGCCAAGAATTTTAAAGATCTCAAATACATAAGAATTGATGCTTATCCAGTTCATAAATGAGGACGTGAAGCTTATTCCCAAATACTAACGCTGGTATTCTGTCACCAATCTATTTATTAAAATGCAAATGCACTTTTTATATACAGTGGGTGACTCTGTAATAAGGTATGGGCACACTAACACAAAGGTATAACAGAAAATAGAAGATTGCCCCTGAGCAAAGCCTGCCTTGTCTTCTTCATTTTCAAGGAGATAGTTCTTAACTTTATTTTATTTTATGATGATCTAACATTTCAGTCTGTCTCTCATATTAGTTTCAAGGCTATACAGATCTTCTCCTGATACCTGATATTCCTTCTTCCACTTATTTTTGGTAAACAGAAGGAAATCATTATGTTATATTACAGAAATTAATTTTTTAGAAAGGATACATTGGATTGGATTGGATTGACATTGCTCATGCTTTAGTCCCATTCATATCATCGAGAGAAGCTTGAAAATATGGTTAGGGATTTCTTTACAATAGCCCACTGATTCAAAAAAAAGTCATACTGTATTTGCTTTTCTTCTGGGGAATCAAATCAAAGGATCAAAGACAAAAGGGATGAACATTTGTTACAAATACCCTTCTTGAGGCAATATCTGAAGACAGTATAGCTTATTGTCTATCTCTCAGAGTCACTCTGTAAGTGAAATAAGATGCATATAAAACAAACAATCAAACAAATAAATATTTTGGGGAATGTGCACATTCACTATCTTTCAATGATGGAAACAGGAAGTAGTAAGTAAATTAAGAAAGGTCTTGATCATTAGAACATGGGCTGGCTAAGGACTTGAGGGTGATGGAACAGAGTTAGTTTGGTATAGTGGTGAAACTTCTACCCTAGAAAACAGGAGATTGTGAATTCTAGTCATGCTTTAGGCATAAAAGCCAGCTGGATGACGTTGGACCAATTACTCTTTCTCAGTCCAAGTGACCTCATAAGATGGTTGTGAGGAAGGAATACTACATATGCTCACTATCTGGAGTTAAAGTAATAAAGGCAGGATAAAAAATGTAAATAAAAGTAAATAAATAAACACCCTTGTTGTCAATATATTCTTGTTGCAGGCAAGCAGGCTTAGCAGAAAAAGGTATTCCTAACTCCTCCATCACATACAGACAGAAACTTTGAGTGGTTTTAAAAGAAAGGCAGAATTGGAAGAGAGGTGGAGGTTGGGGACCAAGGCTGAGAAATTCTTTCCATCTTTCAAGCAGCCTCAGAATTAATTTATTTGAATCCTGAGGGAAAGGAGCATCTATCTAAACAGGAGGCCAGGAGTTGTTGCTTCAAGAAAAATGGATATATCTGTGAACATAAGTAAACAGGTTTTAACTAGATTCTGTGCTAGCTTTTGTTGATTGTTGGTTGCTCTCTGGCATAACCTCAAAATGGAAGAGGAAGAAGAAGAGGGGGAATTCTTTGTTTCTTTACTGAGGTCGTGGGATGGGAAATCCTAACTGTATTGTACCAGCACCGTTTTATGTATGCTGCTTGAGGCATGAGATTGTCTATTGGCTTTATCACTACTGAGTTGAAGGAGAGGGGTGGAGAGCTGGACAAATTCTTCTAGCCAATGCCTTAATGCTCTATGGCTATGGTAAGATAAGAATTACCTCCTTTTATTTTTTTTAATGGGCAGAATGGCAGTACAGGATGTGACAGTCCTATCTCTTTCATGTATCTGATATTAGGGGAGGATGCCAGATAAGTCTCTCTCTCTCTCTCCCCATCCACCCACCCCCAAATTTGATAAACCATTTCCAAAGCAAGAACTACATGCTATTCTTTATCCGCAGGTGCATTGCTTCTAATTTTTACTTTCTTTGTTAGTGCTGGACTAGGACTGGGAATATGAAATTCAAGATTACCTTCACCTATGGAAATTCACTGGGTAACTTTGGACCAATCACATTTTCATAGCCCAACCAACTTCACAAGTTTGTTGTGTGGGAATAAAATGAAGGAAGATCTTTGCTATGAGTTGCCTTGATCTCCAGTAAACCTAACAATCAAAACTAACCAAAAACTAATAATTATCTATTATTGTATCATACAAATGTCAAAATGTCTCTCAAGTCTGTTGTTAAAAAGGAGAGTATACCTAAATGTAAAAAGGGGACATGAGTTTTGCAAATAGAAATCTGCTTATAAAAATGGGATTGCTTCTCACTTTTTTCTCCAACTATCTGAGAAGATCGGGGGGCGGGGAGGGGGCGTTTGGCTGGAAGAAACCATTCCATCAGCAAATACAATCCACCAATTTGTATCTTTAAAGGCATTCATCTATCAGCACAAGAAAGTGACAGCCTTGCTTTTTAGATTGTCATTTGGTTTGCTTGATGGCAACCTCAGGTATTTACAAACATGCATCCCATTTTTAACAATCAATTAACACATAATGCTAACATCGTTAAAGATTCTAGATAAAGGTGTCTTACTCCAGATGGAAAACTGCTTGTATGAGATGCTGGGATATGCTCTATATCAGGGGTGTCAAACTCACATTGTCACGGCAATGTCATGTGACCTTGGGGCTTTCCCCCCTTCACTAAATCATGTGGGGGTAGGGCCAGCATGTGACACAACTGGCCTGTGGGCCACAAGTTTGACACCCCTACTCTATGTGAAATTGACAATATATTAGGCATTTAACATATGCAGAATCACTCTGAGGTCACAAAGCAGGGACAAGGAAATAAGACATGTTCAATACTCACACTGAGTAGGAGGCACTTGTTTTCTTTGATGGCTCCTATGCATCCCACAAAGCCAATGATCATCACAAAAGTCCCTGTGATGATCAGCAGGTTGGCAGCTGACAGAGAAGGGAAGGAAGAAGAGAGGGTAGCGAAGTTCCCTTGAGTAACGGCTAGCCATATGCCAACTCCAAGGATCCCACAGCCTCCCAGCTAGGAAAAAAAATACAAAAAACAAAGAAAAACAAGCTCAGTCATACTGCTAAGACAGGTGTTCTCGTGATCAGCATCACACTTGCTTTTCATTAGCATCAGCAGCAGTAGAAACGCCATTATCTAGAAGAATGGTTATTTTTGAATGTAAGCATATTTCTTTACACTGAAATTACATTGGGGCCCTAAGTTGGGAAAAATGCCTATAGAACTGCTGATGCATGTTCACCTTGGGGCACAGATCACATAAACAATCATGGAACTTTCTGGTTCACTAAGCCCTTTCATAAAACAGCAAGGAGCAGGGAACATGGTTAAGCTCTGATCTCTCCTCCTCTGGGAATAAATTAAAGTAATTTAAATCAGCATCACAAAGTGAGCTGCCACATAGTTAGGATTAGAAATAAAACTCAAGGACCTCAGCCAAGTAGCTTTGCTCAAACTCTCATGCTTTTGCTTAAAGGAAATGCACCCACTGCAAAAAGCTAATAAGTCCATGCATAGCTGAAGACTAAAACAAACAAACAAAACATGGAATAATTTAGGCAACTCGGAGATTTGCAAAGCGGAGTCGGCCTCAGCTGTAAAACTTCATTGCTGCAGGCAAAGAACTGCCAGAGGCTTTATCAGCTGTCCTGCTTACCGCTGTAATATATATTAGGGCAATTTTTCAAAAGCATTCAGGGATCAGACCCTTCCCATTGCATTTCCAAGGGGAGGCGTGCTTCCAAAAAGCATCAGTAGGTCTGTCTCCTTGCTTCTACTGCCTTTAGCCATTCCACTGTGTAAGTGAGTTATAGCTTTGCTCTGTAAACATGTGGCTTTAAAATGGAAAGATTCATTCTGGATGCCAAGAGTCCTGGACTCTGGAATAGGGAGGAATTTGGGAGCCAAGAAAAATTAAGGCAGATATGCTAAAACAGGCATGTGCTGATGGCCAACACTGCCACCATTACAACACTCATGAGTAGAAGTGGGGAGATCATTAGACCCTTACTTCATCTTCACCAGTGTGAACAACAAGGAGCTGGTTGGAGGTATATATTACAATTCCAAAAGCTGGCATCTGCTAAATAACAAGTAGGCTTTGGTTCTAAGCCCAGACACAACCTTCAAATGATTAACAATAGTGGAAAAAAACTACCAGTAATAGAAAATTCTAGGGAAAATGACCAACTGAAGACAGCTCCAGGAATAAGCAGAACCAATGTTTGTGGACTTCTTTTTATATATTAACAATTGTATTAGTTTATAGTGTAGCATACAAAGAAAGTACAAAGTAAATAATAGGATTTTTTAAAGGAGTCAGTAAATTAGCTCCTTGTTTCTCTCTAGATAAAAGAGAGAGACATGAGATTACCTAAACTGTTGGCAACTGGAATAGTCACCCCTTTTCCTCACAAATAGACAGTAATACTGTACAGTGATTACTAATGAGAGAGAGGAAATTTACCATAGTTCCTTCAGCTGTAAATGGAGCCTTTCAAAAGAACACTAAATTTGGACACTTCTCTTGCTAACTACATTTAGAAATTGTTTATTAACTGCTTGAAAGAAGTTAGATACCTTCAGAAGGAACAAGGTATCAAATACCTGGTGAATGAATACCTTAATATTTGACAATGAAATTTATTTTTATTACTTTTAGGAAATTAAAATGAAGAGCAAAAGGACAAGCTTTTGGCTAGACTTTTAAAAAAATATTTTTTTTCTTTGTTGGATTTACAAGACAGACAGCTTAAAGAAAAGAAGAAATTTGTTACAAGGATCAATAACTACTGGGATGGCTCACCGATGAAGGCTGTTCTATGTTTAAAAAGAAAGAAAAACAAAATTGATTTATTTGACCATAGTTAAAATGGAACATATTGTCGTTCTGCATGATTCTTTTTGGATTTACTAATATTTTGACTGGAAATATGTGGCTTTGGTTAAATGTTTGTTTTATGCCTATTTTCTGTATCCTAATTGTTTAATATCTAAATAGATAGTATCTAACTGTGTGATTTTCTTTAAAGGAATAGTTTTTCTGTAGGGTTAAATTGTAGCCTTTTTAATATTAAGATGCTGGGATTGCTTAGATAGATTAATTAAGATTGCTTAGATAGTTTAGTTAAGATGTGAAATGTTTATTCAAATGGAATAGGTTGTCATTTGTGGTGATTCTCTTAGGGATGGTTCGCATTTAGATTGAGTGTACTGCAATTTGCCCTTCCCTTTTAAGGTCTCTTTTTGTTATGCTAAACTTTAGGTATAATTTATTTATACTAGGTTTTGGGGATCTTTTAATGCTTTTTAAATGGAGTTTTCCCAATAGCTGAAAGTTGAGATGTGGAAAGTTAAGTTTATGTTTGTTAATTTTAATATGATAGAGCTCTGTTTGGGGTTTTTGCTGACAATTGTATAAGGAGAAGATACTGCTTATTTCTTTTTTTTTTCCTCAACTTTTATTTGTTTTTTAATATAATATATAAAAAACCCATTTCAATCAATCAGTCTGTTGTCTGGATACAATTGTTTTTAGATGCTTATTTTATAGATTATATGATAAAGAGATTTATATTTGTTAATTAAAGAGGGGTGAAACAATTATGAAATTGTTAATATATTTTTGCTAATCAATTAAAAACACGGATATAAGGAAATAGCCAGGGGTGGGATTCTACCAGTTCTCACCTATTTGCTAGAACCGGTTGTTAACATTCTAAGCAGTTCGGAGAACCAGTGGTTATAAGAAATTACTGGCCTAATCCTGTAAGGAAGGCAGGAAGGAAACATTTTGGTGTTGCTTACAGAAACTGCCTCTCCATAAACCCTTATTACATTCTTGGCAGGACTAGACTTCCTGTCTCTGGAACTTCTCTGGAGTTTTTTTTTTCCTCTTTTGCTGGTACTTTGCTTGTGTGCAGTGACCATTCAAAGTTACAGTGGCACTGAAATAAGTGACTTATGACCATTTTTCACACTTATGGCTGTTGCAGCATCCCCACAGTCATGACAGGCCAGGCGAGGAGATGCGTGCCTCAATGTGAGTGATGTTGAGTTGGCCACACCCAGCCAATAACATGACCACCAAGCCATGCCCACCAACTAAGCCACGCCCACAGAACCAGTTGTTAAAAAAATTGAATCCCACCCCTGGAAATAGCCATTGCTTAAAAGCAAATATCTGAGTCAAGGGAATAAAAACATTTAGGTATAAGTGAATTCAATGGCCTTGAAACTAAGAGTCAAAGTAAGTTCATCTCCTTTCACAACTTGGCATGTTTCACTACAATTCCCTGATCAATGTATAGCAACCTACTCATTATGTGACCCCTCAGCTCTGTCTTTGACGTCTGCAATGAACAGGGCAGTTAAACACTGGGGAGGTCATAATATAATGGATTGCATTTGACTTCATAGGTCACAGGCTTGATATAGACTGAAGCATTATAAAATATATATCAAACACTAAATTAAAAAAGGATGGCCATATGATATAAAAGAGTCAGCTCTTTTATTCTGCAACTTTAGGAATAGTCTTTCAGAGTGCAGACGTTTCTAGATGTTTCCTTAAATAATGGGTTGCTTCTGTTTCCACAGAAGAGAACAGAACAATTTAAAGGGATGGATAGTTCTCTTAATAGCCTGGAAATGTGGCATCCTGTATTCAAATCAAAACTTTTATTAGGTCATGTTAAAGTTTTGATTTGAATACAGGATGCCACATTTTCACGCTATTAAGAAAATTATGACCCATGGGTCAGAAAGTACAATCCTAATAACAATAGCGATAGCACTTAAGACCACTTCATAGTCCTTTACAGCCTTTTCTAAGCACTTTACAGAGTCAGCATGTTGCCCCCAACAATCTGGGCCCTCATTTTATCAACCTCAGAAGGGTGGAAGGCTAAATCAACCTTGAGCCAGCCAGGATCAAACTGCTGGCAGTTGGCAGAGTTAGCCTGCAATTCTAACCACTGTGCCACCACAACTCTTTAAAATACATCAAACTGTAATTATTAATTGAACTTTTAAAAAAATTGCAATAAACTTTCATAAAATTTATTATTATGGTAACTAGTACAAATAGCTATGGCAATTATCAAATTTTGTGCTAAATGTCCACTGTAGGTACCACAGATACAAACAAATAAGAATAATCTTATAGTGGAGATGAAGAGCATAACAATTTAATAAAGAAAATAAATAATAAATGATAGCACAAAATCAGGCAAGCTGGAAAGATATGTCAGGCAGGGGTGGGCTGCTACGGGTTCACCTGGGTTAGGGTAGACCCATAGCTAATGTTATGGTTTGGTGAACTGCCAAATCCCGCCCCTAGCTGGTCCCACCTGCCCTGCCCCTCCCATACCACCCCACCCCCCAGGAGTCTCCACGTGGCCCATTTTGGATGCGAGATAAGTGCAGGGCCCATGCAGAGGCTTGGGGAGGGGAAAAAATGGGCCTACCGGAAGTTCTGGAAGTCCAGAAACAGGCCTATTTCTGGCGTCTGGAGCCAGAGGAGGCAGTTTTCGCTGTCCCAGAGGCTTGAGGAAAGCCTCCGGAGCATGGGGAGGGCAAAAAACGGGCCTCCCGGAAGTTCTGGTAGGCCACGCCCATCCAGCAACTGGGCAGAAAACCCACTGCTGAAATATTTGAAGCCCTGATGTCAGGGTCCTGTCACACAACAGGACTTTTTAATGTATTTTATGTTCTCTAAGAGAGTACCTCTTAAACTGGTATAAATATATCTCTCTCTTGATTGCCCATCTCAATAACATTTTTTCATTTGTAAATACCAATTAACTATATATTTAATAATATCAAAACCTTTGACTATATGCATTAATAGTTAGGAACTTCAGATACAGCTTATGGATAAAGCCCAGATTATACCCAGATTGAAAGTCAAGAGATGTTTTACTGCTTGTTCAAAACTTTTTTTTTACTGCTTGTGCCTTTTTTTGCAAATGAGCTTCAAATAAATAAATAGATAAATGACAGCAACCTTAGAA